TCATAATAGTTTTGCATGACTCTGATTAATATATCTTTAGTTGAAAGTGGGATGTGGTGTATACTGGGCCCCAGTTGTCCCTTCTGCCCTGGGCCCCCATGGTACTCAGAAACARCTCTGGATGTGGGGCTAATATTCTCAAAAACCTTTAAAAATGGCAGTATACATAATAAACATTTACAGGTATGTAAACCCTAGAGCTGATGCATCAGTTGTTGCCTTTTCAAGCAATGTTCACATGAAAATTTATTGCATTAAAAATMTATTAATCAAATATAGATGTGCAAGGTTACTAATGCTTTTGCTTCTATTTTTATTTATTAAATTCTAATATATGCATTGTTATGGAGCCCGCGAGGTGACACGGGGGATTTTTTTTTCCTTTTGCGTTCCCACGCACTACCTTTGCGTTCCCACGCAATACTATTGCGTGGGAACGCAAAAGAAAAAAAAATCTCCAATGTCACCTCGCGGGCTCCGTACATTGTAAAGTAAAAACTAAAGTAAAAAAAAAAAAAAGTCAAAAGTAAAACTTCCCATATCTTTGTAAAATAACTTACGTTAGAGTTGAACTGTATGTTGTCACGACGTGCTGTWACTTTGTTGGACGATTTCAAGGCGTATAAAACTGAGCCAAARTTGGGTTCTTTAACTCCTGCGTTCCTACACAATCAAAACAAATCGATTATTATTATTTTTTTAGATGCACTCAACAGAAGATACATTTCCCGTTTAAAAACTCACCTGTTTCTGAACTCATTGTTGTAAATGTCTCTTAGTTGTAGTTTGCCTGTGATGGATGCTCTGTTGGTCTTTTTCAAAAACTCGAAGAAGTCCAGTCCAATTTGGCACCGTGACTTTAAACTCTTTTTAACCATGATTAGTTGTCAAAACAAAGCACCAAACCACCGGGGTGTTAGCCGAAATACGGAAACACAGCTGGTGAGCACTCTGACGACTTGTCTAAGGAAACGCTGAGAGGAGCGCTCGCGTTTGTGCTTTCATTGCCCTGAGGGGCGGGGCTCAGAAACTCAAGCACATCCGAGGAAACGAAAGTGAAGGCAAAGCAATGTAAACGAAAAGCAAATGCTGAAGTTAGCTTTCTTATCTCAGCTTTCTTAGCTCAGCTCTTGTTCAAAAACTAAAATTATAAATATATTTTGTTTTCTTCTCCTTTTTTATTCATTGTTTGGGGGATACTGRATTATGGGTGATTCTTTTTCTGTGGCAACATTTTGGCTTCAGGACTTTAGACAAAAAAAAAAGAAGAGCACTAAGATTTAAATATTTTGTTACATCACTGACATGTTTAACAATAAGAAATGAATAATAGTCAAGCTCAGGGCTGGATAAAGTAATAATTACAGGTAATTTTTTGTCACCATTGTCTCTAAATTTGTTCCACCCTGTTAGGGACATTTACATAGGCCAGTTAAACATGTAAATATTGATAAATAATTAAAAAATTAAAAAAGAATATGACCCTTTTACTATATAATATGTTTTATTCTTGAAAATGTAACATATGTAATTACGAATCATTTAAGTCAGTATTGGGATTTTTTTTTACACTTTATTACTGACTATATATATA